TGTTTGGAGGGAGAGTCCCCCTCCCTACAGGAAGCCACGACCACGTGTCACGGCAGGGAAAATGGCCACGGATCCTGTTCGTCACCCAATGCGGAGTTTGTGAACGGAAGCAAAATTTTGCGAACGGCGCTGTTCGTGAACCGAATTGTTCATGAACAGAAGCATTCATGACCCGAGGTACCACTGTAATTCCAAAAATGTTCTGAACTGCTTTAAAAACTCTTTAGTTTGTAGTCTCCAAGTCACCAAGCTTATCAGACAGACTCAAAATGGGACAAAAAGCAGGGAAAAGCAGGGAAAGACATGAACAAAGGCAAGCATTTACATTATCTAGGTAACTATCTACAACAAAAAGCACAGTATTTTTTTTCAGAGCCACTGGAAATAATACTGTGGGTAATGAGCATGGACAGTCCCAAAGGAAGCAGCTTTTGGTACTTCCAGTTTTAACCCTTTTATGTACCCTTTTATGTAGGGATTTTGCTTTGTGTCTGCAGTTCTTAACACATCCCATGTTGTCCTTAAATAATGTGGTTGGGACTGGTTCTTTTCTCTTAAAATCTAGCAACAGCTTGTGCAGCTTTTCAAGTTCTCTGCATGCTTGTTCTGCAGCACAGAATTTAGTCTCTGTAGATGACAGGGCTACTAAGCTTGTTTTTAACCCTTTTATTACACCACTGCTGAAAAGAGATAAAAGTGGGACACCAGGTGATCTATTCTGCACCATTTAAAGAAACAGTTTGGTGGACAGGGATGGTACATCTAAAACCCCACACAGAAAAGATCCCACCTAAAGTGTGTTTCAGTATGGGAAATGATGAGACCGACCAACACTTTTCTTTCAAGGCAATAATGCTAGCCACTTTCAATAACAAGCTGAACAGTTATTTCCTATTTTGGATTTGCCTGCAGACACCCATTTCCTAGGTCTCTAACTTTAAAGGACAAAAAAACAATAATGAGAAAAATTACACTGACACCACAAGTAGTGGGAAAAAAATCTGTGTACAGAAAGGATTCGAATGAATGGTGTGCACCTAGGTCTCTCAGAGGCCTAAAAAGGTTTCATTCTATCTATCATCCATCCATCCATCCATCCATCCATCCATCCATCCATCCATCCATCCATCCATCCTCTTCTAAAAATACTTGATTATTATGAGTTAGCTAGAGATATGAGTTCTCCTGAAAGACAATTCATATTAATTAATTAATTCATTCATCTGTATGAATGAGGAGGAGGGAGTGGATCCCTTTGGTTGTACTTATTCCCTGAGATGTCTAGTTCTTTATGGGAGCTCAAGTTTCTTACTTTCTTTTAATTATAGAATTACAGCTCTGTTAGGACAGGGCCAAAACATTTTTCTGCCTGAACTAGAGCAGCAGATGGTCCTTCCTCTCTCTCTCAGCCCCATCATGATGCATAGTACTGAGTTGCTTTGGCACCTGAAGCAGAAAATCCAATCTACATTTCTCCCTGGGTATTAAAAGCACCTTCATAATAACTAAAAGAACTAACCATTTGGATCTGTTTCATGCCTTCCCAAATCAGCTGCCTGAAGCAATCATCTTATTTTGCCTAACAGTAGCAATGGCCCTCCAGTATCCTCTTTTCATATCCTGGTGAGTGCTTCAAGAAGGGTCTGAGGCAGTGTTTCTCAACCTTGGCAACTTGAAGATGTGTGGACTTCAGCTCCTGGAATTCCCCAGCCAGCACTGGCTGGGGAATTCTGGGAGTTGAAATCCATATGTCTTCAAGTTGCCAAGGTTGAGAAACACTAATCTGAGGTGTAAAAGAGGAACAAGGGAGAGGGTATATCTCTGGACAATCGTAAATGAGGTCCAAGGTAAACAAATATTTCAGCCCAGCCAGTCAACATGCCACACTTAACATGCTTAGAGGGAAGTGATGTCTTACTTCTGCTTCCCACTTTGGGGGATGTTTCAATATTTGGACAATCTTTCCGGCATAGTTTCATTGTGGTCCAAATTAGTGGTGATATAATCAAAGAGAATGAAGCCATAAGCTGCAGGCTCGGGATTCGTCTAAGATGGAAAGAATTTTATGAGGAAGATAAGTTGGAATAAAAGCAAGGATGAAGCAAGAGTCACCAGAAAGAAAGAAATACAAAAGAAAATTAGAAAACCACAGTAGACTCACTCTAAAATTCAGCTTCTGGATGACTTGCTGGGAATCACTTTCCATAATCACACTAGAATTAAAAAAAGAAAGAAGTTAAGGATTTTAGGAAGAAGAATTTTCAGTCTTGTTAATGGTGTGAAAATCCCTGGAAATGATCTTAAGAGTTTCCAGACAACCTGACATGTTTCCTGAGTGTTCATTAACAGTGATCACCTTGCACAGCATTAAGCAGCTTTGTTCACTGAAGTCATTCTTCTGCAGGGAATTAACTTTTCTTCTAATTCAATATTTTGTTTAGGTTCTGAGTGTTAAAATACCATAGGCATCAATTGGTCAGTTCTGATGCCATCAGAATTTGTGAGATCCTTGGGGAGCTTTAAGATATTTATTTTGGGTTTTTAAAATTCTATCATCAATTTTATTCTGATCTCTCTCTAGCTGTTCTGCCGAAGTGTGAGCACAGCCTCTGTCTTCCTATAGGAGAAATGCCCTGGTATTTAGTTATTTTTATTTCTCCCATTTCTCTTCCATCAGTTCAGCTGCAATCCTGTCTCTTAAAGAGATGAATTTTCCTTTACTTATGAATCTCAGTCTGAGCAATCTATCTCCCAGGGTGGGCAATTCTCATCCACAGGCCACATGCAGCCTTCAACCTAATTGCACGTGACTAACTTATTTTATATTTCATTTGCAATTGTCCCCTTTTGCAGAACCACCATGGCCATTGGGAGAAATAGAGAGAAAAAGGTTGACCACATCCACATCTAGTCTGTTCTTGATCCACTACCTACAGCTCTGCCCATCACCAGCGTCTCCCACCTTAGATTAACTCTGTAGGACTGCAGCCCTTGTCCACATATGCCTTTACAAAGATAACTGAACTCAGGGAGATTTACTTCTGATGACATGTAGAAAATCACTGTATGGCTGTCTCAAGAAAGTAGGGGCAAGCACATTTCAGAAGAAAATAAAGGCATGTCTTGAAATGTGAATTAACTTATCCCTTATTTTTACTTTTCAACTGGCTTTCTTAATGTGACTTATGTGGCCACTGGAGAATCTCTCAACTACTTCAATCTCCCTCCATCAGTATGATGAACCATGGCAAATATATTTATGTCCAGATTAAAATTTGAGGGTAACATGATGAACCAGTTTGCCAAAGCTTGCCAAGTGTATTTTATAGTGGAAAGGGATTCTAAGTAATATTGCACAAACTGTATTTAAACAATACTGGGTAGTAGTGGTATGAAATGTATTTAAACTGTCACGTTTTTCCTGTGATTCTTTGCATATAATGTTCCTCCTTCCACAGAAATCTCACCCGCCATCAACAATCTCATCCACTACAAGAAATACCCCATCCATGTTGTCCACCAGAGTTCGCTTCTCCACATTCTTTCTAGATGCAAGAGAAAATGACACCAATGTTAACACCTTGATGTATTATCTACATTTACTTTCCAAGACATCCTGTCCTTTATATTTGTTGGAAAGTTTTCCCAGAACTTCCAATATCATGGCCAGACCTACACTGGTTTAAGAGTTAATGCTTTCTCCCAGGAGTCTCTAGGAATTATAATTCCATAAAGGCTGGGATGGGGCAAAAGACCTTTAAAATAGAGAGTTCTCAGCACCTCATCAAATTACAACTTCCAGGATTCAGTGTAAGAAACCAGGATGACAATTAATCTGATAGAATTATACAGATAGGTAGTGTAGATGCGTCCCAAAGCAAAACAGGAGCTTATCTAAAAATCCCTGGAAACAGGGAAATGTTTCTGGAAATGGGCATTTCTTTCCAAACATAATGTTGGTTACAAATTAAAGTGTAGTTCAGGAATTAACGATGGGGAATACATGTCCTAATTGATTTCATTTGCTTAGTTGTGGCTATTCTTTTGTACACCACCTGATTTCTGCTTGTTAGTTGTCTATGATCTGGATCATGTGGACTAATATTTGAGGGTTTCAGGTATAGCAAATAGGGCTTTGATGTCCTAGTAGGTCTCAGCTGGAGTGTCTGGAGGGGTGGATGTCAAAGACTGGGTTCTGTTCCCTGGATTTTGATCCTGTAGGCAGATTGCTATCTTTCTCTGAACTGCAATACCCAGGTGATATACACTATTTAGTCCCTTCTGAAATGTGTACATCTCTCTGTAATGACTTTTTGGCTTCCAGAAGTAGCTTCCAAGAGAATACAAAAAAGCAAAGAATTACTTTTTAAAAAGTCAATAAAAATTCACTTAAAATAATTAACAGCAATGTTAAAAGGCTTAGAACATAAATACAAAGGTCTCCATTCAGTGTCAACACGATAGTTAAATCTCTGCGAGAAGCTGGGATATCATTGCCAAAAACAGCAACCAACTTTCTGGTTGCTATTTGGCTTACTTCTGTTGAACTTCCTGGAGAAGATCCTCAGATATTGACCTCCATGCAAAGTAGACACCAATAAGATAGCGATAGGATATTTACTTCTCTGCAATGGGAGGCCAATAATAGAGAGCATAATTCAGAGGACATGTTGAATTTCCATACAAGGAACTCCATTGGAAAAAAATGATGTCAATCCAACAGAGCCAAGATTAGATTAGAAGTGATAATTTTCTGTCACAATGAGTGAAACCTCCAGAGAAATTTTCTTGTGCCTTCTTTTCTCTTTGAGAAGAAGGGCTGTGAGTTGTTCAAAAGCATAGTATAAACCATAGAGGACTGTGGCATCTTAAAGACTTACTGTTTTATATCACATCAGCTTTTGTGGATCACATTTATACAATAATAATAGCACTAGTTTTTAAAATGCCAGAGGCACCTGAAGAAAGTATAGATGTTTCTCAGGGGGATTTGCTTTTCTTAGAGCCTGCAACATGGCTTGCATGCACAGACTAACCAAAGTCCTTTATTCTGAAGACAGTGTTTCTTGCCAGGTACCAGGTCACTATTTACAGCAACACCCAAGTGGGATTATCATTCATTCATTCATTCATTCATTCATTCATTCATTCATTTATTCATTCATTCATTCATTCATAGATAGATAGATAGATAGATAGATAGATAGATAGATAGTATAT